TCAGATATTGTGCTAGCATACTCGCACTACTATGGAGCAATGCCAGACCGAACTTCCCGACTTCAAACGTTGTGGGCGGGACTAAGTTCGGAATGGCACCCAGGCTAGTAAACCAGTGGAACAGTCTTGAAGATAAAGACCCATAAAGAGTGCTGAAACATACACCCCTTCAAAAGGATGTTCGAAAACCATGTATCTGAGAGATAAAGTATGTCAAGGAGGAGAAATTATAAGGATGGAGGCTGGATGGAGTTTAAAAATTATTCGAAAAGCATTTATATATATATATATATATAGATATATAGAAAGATAGATATACATACATGTCTCCTATTAATCTTTGAAGAGGTCTTGCTCTGCTGGTATGCATAAACAAAATATGATGTGGGACGTAATAATTTTGCGAGATTTGTTAGGATCCTGTTTGTTAAAGATACAGTATTGAGGTTTACACTTACTGAGGAACGTATGGTGGTAAGCTGACAGAAGTGGGATAGGACCCTATGGGGTTTGAACTTCTTACTCTGAGTAGTTGTACTATTTTATATAATTTTTGTATACTTGAATGTTTTCTCCTTATGTATACTTGAACAAATCAATGAAATGAAATGAGTGGATCTGGGCAGAGGATGAGGACATGGCTGAAATGAAATTCCAGACTTGTTAAGTATCCTGCCTCTAAGAAGCCCCTCCTTAGGTCAGGGTTGAAACTGAAACTCCTGCCTCCCCACAGGGACATTCATTGGTGGATTTCTATCCACATTTATTTAATTTCAGTCCCGTTTCCTGCATTGGAACCAAAGGAGGTAAGAGAACTAAAACAGGAAACCAGGGACATTCCTGAAACGCACCCTGCAGTGGATACTTAACAACTGGCTGTTATGTAGGAGATAATAACTTCCTAAGTCGTTACAGTCTGTTGGTTTAATGTCTAAAATAGTAACACATTTCGGTTTAAAGTGGATTTTAATGCTCCCAAATGTCTCTGTTCTCTTACTCTAGGTTTTACTGATTTCCAGACCTTAGCCGTTCCACTTTCCAGGATGGAATCCAAGAAACGGAGCAAGATGGACATTTTCCGGAACAAAGTTCTGCCACGTCTCCACCTGGGCAAGACTCACTTACCCAAGCGTAGCCACAAACCCAATCACCTTATGGACAGCCGCATGAGCACATCCGTCCCAGATATCAGCAACATGAGGCAGGAGCCTGTGGCCTCCAGCATGCAGGCCCATCTTCAGAACTCTGCAAGCCACAGCACTCTGTCCTCACTGTCTCCTCGTAGGGAGGGAGGTGGGAGTGGCCTGCAGGTACCTGGAGCAGGAGCTAAAAAGGCCGAACACAGACGGAGCATGCCTGCAGAATGCACAGAGTGGGCTTTCTCTGAGGAGTCTGTCAATGGTTTCTGTGGAGAGGAGAGGATCTTAATGGAGGCAAAACAAAAAGCAGTTTTAGGTATAGAGCCTGAGGAGCTGGCTCTGCCAGAGATGATGACTGTCTACAGCCCAGACATCCCTAAGGAAGAGCTTTCCCCCGACAATTCACAGGTACAGCAACTGCTTTTTACGACATTCTGATATGAATCACCTCTCCAGAAATTACTAGTTTATCTATTGGTTATTGATAATGATGATGCATTTGGTTAAAGGGCATTTTGATAGGATCTGTTCCCAGAAAACGGCAACACATCTATTGTTCATTTGAAACCATGTCAGTGACGGCCTGTTAGCTTAGTCCTCCATCGCCGGGCTTAAACTGTCAGTAACATGAGCAGTTCAACAACAAATTAATCAATCACCATATGAAGTCACAATTCTTTGCATCTTTATCTATATTTGCCATTTACACTGGAAAAAAAATCAAAATCTAGATAAAATAAGTGCATTTCTTCTTAAATTGAGGAGATTAAAGAGACATTTTGCCAATGGAACAAGACATATTTAGATTTAAAATAAAAAACAATTGCATCTTCTTATTTCAAGTGCATTTCATCTAATTATCTTATTTTAAGGGTAAAAATACTCATTCCATTGGCATATTATCAAATGTACCTATTCAAATCAAGAGTAAATACACTTAAATTAAGAAATGTTTACTTATTTCTAGATCATATTTAAGTCACAAAGTTACAAATACATTTTGAAGATTCTGAACATGTAATCTTACATACAGACTATATTTAAATTCAAAATCGCATTAAATTTAGATATAAATAAAACTTAAAGGTGAGAATGTTTTAGAAAGAGGATCATTTTAAACAGCAGCTATAAGCAGTCTCAATGGTGGAAATTGAGGATGAGGGTAATGTGATACTCTAAAGAAATAGGACTTTGTTATGTACATTGGTGTGGGGAAGGTGTCAGGTGTATTTGCATAAAAATGGCAAAGTTTAACTTGCAGAAGGTGGATAAACAGCTTCAGGATCTCCACCCAAAACCAACAGCAGCTCTGTTTAAACTGTGGTTTTAAGAGACTGAGGCAATGGTTGAAACTTGTTGCGTCGGACGTTTACTTCGAGAAAAAAAAAAAAAAAAAATTACAGTTCTAAGTTGTTGTTTTTTTTAACAATTAAAGGAAAATTCCGGTTTTTAACACTTTTAGCCCATTTTCTGTAGTGTCCAGGATGAAATCGAATGATCGACACCAAAATTTTTTTGACGATTGGTCCTGTCTCTGCTATTTGGCTCATGCAGAATCCCCCCCTGGCTGCTTCAGAATGGCTTCCATAGTGCATGTCCGATAATGTCCTTAAAACAACCTTAAACGTTCTTTTTTTTAAATATGCTACTCACCTGGTCGTCAGCGCTGTTCAATGACGTTCCAAAAAAAGTTTCGTAAAGAAAAAACGTTCCTGTAGTGTTTTATTTAGCATTTTGTAAATCCCATTGAGTTCTGTTGGAATAGTCAATATCCCTCCGCCACCGGAAACGGAAATGGGGCCTGTTTACGCTTAGTTGTAGTCTTTTCGCAAGGCCCAAGTGTTTTTGCTTCACTCTGTGTACTCCGACGTCGAGGTGCTAACGTCTCTGTTAAACACTTTAAAAAACTCTGAAAATGGAATACGAAAGGTTGATTCTTGAGGAGGACATATTGGACTTTGAGTTTGACGGTAGAGGATACCGTCGCCAACTAGTGGTCTGGAGTGTGCAACGCTTCAGATTCGAACGGGAAGCGGAAGTTTATAAGCGGTTGTGATGTATCGGAAAAAATAGTTCTGGGATTTACAAAATGCTAAATAAAACAAGACAGGAACGGTTTTTCTTCACGAAACTTTTTTTGGAACGTCATTGAACAGCGCTGACGACCCGGTGAGTAGCATATTTTAAAAAAAGAACGTTTAAGGTTGTTTTAAGGACATTATCGGACATGCACTATGGAAGCCATTCTGAAGCAGCCAGGGGGGGATTCTGCATGAGCCAAATAGCAGAGACAGGACCAATTGTCAAAATTTTGGTGTCGATCATTCGATTTCATCCTGGACACTACAGAAAATGGGCTAAAAGTGTTAAAAACCGGAATTTTCCTTTAAGAGGGTAAACTTTAATGTTCATAGTTCTTCTTAGATGAACTCATGAAAATTAAAGAGGTTCTCTTTTATGCATTTTTTTCCCCACAACGTATCACATTATGGCAGCTTTTCCAGTTTGGATCATGAGTCCCGCTTTGTTTCTATTGCCAATTTTCTTCATAAAACCTTTGATCTTTCAGAGCTGCTGGAAAATTTCTGAGCAGACATGTGGTTAAAACAATAAAAAATGTTCATGCACACATAGCTGTACTACTTTGTAAACTGCATCACATTCTGTTAAGAAGAAGCTGGTTGGATGATGCCATCCATTGTTTAGCATGTTGCGCCACCGTGTCACATTTCTGTTCTCTGAAACTTCTGGAGTATTTTGATAATATTTAAATCAATCTCCTTTACATATATTTAATAAATTTGAGCTCTAGTGGTTGCTCTTTCTAAACTACCAAAATGATCCCATCAGAAGTTTATATAACCTTGTTTATAAAACATCATTTTAATCACTCTAACATTATTGACAATATTCCACAGCTTTATTTTCTCAGATTATATAATCCTCAGTTTATCTGGGAAGTAATTCGGTTTAATTGCGATAAGAAGATGTCAGCCAAAGGTAGAGTTGGCCTTTGGTTTGGGATCAGTCGTTATTAACAGTGGCGGTTCTAGACCGAATGTACCAGGGGGGCCAGGAGGGGGGCAGCGTGTTTTAATGGGGGCACAGAAAAGCATGAAATCAAAAACAGGGCAGTTTTTCAGGTTTGTTTTGGTAAGTTTATGAAACTGAATGAGCTGAGATAAACAAAAGTGGAAATTCAGAATAAAGAAATGTCAAAACGTAATAATTTATTATTAATTTATATATAGTAAAATTTTAACAGGGTATTTAAAACACATGATCATAGCTCTATCTTTAAATCCTTTTTCCCTTTTTTACATGTTGTAGTCTCCAGCTTACATATTCTTTAGGTTAAATGATGTGACACGGTGAGTAACTGTAAAATTCACGTTTTCTAAATGCATCATCGTCAAATAAAAATCAGCAAAGGGCCAGACAGCTGTTACTAATGACCTCATTGCTGTCATGCCACACAGCATAGAAGTGAAAGTATAACAAAATAATAACCCCTGATTTGGCTTTTAATTTACCTACTGCTTTCTTAAGGATTGGGAACATTTATTACAGTG